AGCTAGAAAGATTAGGTAAGTAATCTGAGGAAATGGTTTTGGTGAAAACTAGCACGTCTGAAGACATGCATCGGGCACAGCTTATCCACGATCTAGATGATAATCCATGTGTGATTACATGTTTATTGAGTCTCTTTTTGAAGCCATACTCTGAGAGTGCTTTGGTCACGTTGGTTCGTTGCAACTAGACCTAATGAGAAAAAGTGGGATTACCGCAAGCGGCGCGGTGGCGATGCTTCGAAAAAATGCTCACGTTTGGGTGGTTCTGCGTACCAAATATGATGTGCGCCATAATTAGATTAGCTCTGATTCTGTTGTAACTCAAACAGAATAATCCTATGTGCTGGAATCTCTCTTCTTCATATTTATTTCCCGATTCGTTGCTCGTCTCTGCACCGATTTAGCGGATTTACGTCTCTTTTGCGGAGAGAGGGTGCGACGTCGTTGTGAATCTCAAGAGTTGGGTGGTCATATGTCGTAAACAACATTAAATATGATTCTGGGGTAAATTCACCAAGTGGTCTTCACAAAAGGCGAAGAGTTGCATTGGCCTTGGCTGCTTAGCCTATATAACTCCTCCAGTAGAACCTTCGGGGCTGCGGCCGGGTCCAAGCGTGGATAAAGGAGGAGGGTTAGGTATGGTGTTGGCGACCCCATCCCTACAAAACCTAACTTGTCAAAAAATCTCTAACCAGAAAATGTATTTCAAAACATTTTAACTCTGCCCTGGAAGTTGGAAGAAGAATTAGGACATCTCATGATGAAAGCCGAGTTCCCTCGGAATTCACGAGGCCGATGTCTCTTCTGACAACCAGAGCAACCATTCTTCCAGTTATATGGAACGTCTGTTCATTGGGGGAGACTGGAAGACTATTTCAAGTTGCTGCATAAATAAAAAGATACAACCTTGAGGTGCTCGGCATCAGTGAAACGCATTGGACACAAGTAAGACAACTGAGACTAGCTTCAAGGAAATTGCTGTTATACTCTGGTCATCAAGAGGAAAATGCTTTACATAAAAAAGGAGTTGCACTGATGCTGTCCAAACATGCACAAAAAGCACTGATAGGATGGAAATCTCATGAACCCAGGATCATTAAAGCATCCTTCAAAACAAAGAAAGAGGACATTACAATGAACGTCATCCAATGTTATGCACCTACTGACCTACTAAATTTCATCTGTTCATTGGAGATGCATAATGAATGCAGTGTTGTCGGCCAGTTGACATTCAATTTCAGTACTGTTACCACAATTTCCAAACAAGCAATAAACGCCATTCTTAAATAAGCTGTATTTTCATTTTATATCACCTAATTTGGAAACGTCCGATCATTGAAATCAAATAATAAATGAATTGAATAATCATGCATTCCTAGCCTACAAAAGAGATTTCAAGTGAAACAGCCTGCCAAACAACATTGCCAACTGAAATATGTGTGAAAATAATAATCATAACCATAAGCATAATAATGTCAATCACACTGTGGTGCCTTCAGCTAACCTACAGAATTTCATCTGTTCATTGGAGATGCATAATGAATGCAGTGTTGTCGGCCAGCTGACATTCAATTTCAGTACTGTGACAACAACTTCCAAACTAGCAGAAAACATCTTTCTTAAATATGCTGTATTTTCATTTTATTTCACCTAATTTGGAAACGTCCGATCATTGAAAGCTAATGATAGATGTATTGAATAATCATGCACACCTAGGCTACAAAAGAGATTTCAAGTGAAACAGCTTGCCAAACAACATTGCCAACTGAAATATGTGTGAAAATAATAATCATAACCATAAGCATAATAATGTCAATCACACTGTGGTGCCTTCAGCTAACCTACAGAATTTCATCTGTTCATTGGAGATGCATAATGAATGCAGTGTTGTTGGCCAGCTGACATTCAATTTCAGTACTGTGACAACAACTTCCAAACTAGCAGAAAACATCTTTCTTAAATATGCTGTATTTTCATTTTATTTCACCTAATTTGGAAACGTCCGATCATTGAAAGCTAATGATAGATGTATTGAATAATCATGCACACCTAGGCTACAAAAGAGATTTCAAGTGAAACAGCTTGCCAAACAACATTGCCAACTGAAATATGTGTGAAAATAATAATCATAACCATAAGCATAATAATGTCAATCACACTGTGGTGCCTTCAGCTAACCTACAGAATTTCATCTGTTCATTGGAGATGCATAATTAATGCAATGTTGTCTGCCGGTGGACATTCAATTTCAGCATGCTGCCAAAAACTTACACAGTAGCAACGAACATCCCTGATCAAGTAAACTGTATTTTCATTTTATTTTGCCTCGTTTGGAATCTACGATCATTTTATTGCTAAAAAGAAATAATGAAATTTTCGTCGATTTTGTATTGTGAAAATCTTTCTACGTATATATATTTGCGTTATGATATTACTGACTCTTTCTCTTGATATTTTGGTAATCTATATGATTCAAGTTTGAGATTTTATCGTTGTGTATTGTTATTATTTCTATATCTTGTACTTGTATCGAAGTTTTTATGTTTCCCTCTGAAGTGTACATATGTTGATTAAATTTGATATATATTATGGCCTCACCCGATTTTGGATATGATACCTTAGCAGTAATGTTGATGTTGCAAGATGATGCTGCATGATGATGTTGCATGATGTTGCATGATGATGTTGCATCAGGAAGTTACATGTTGATCTTTCCTGATGATGAAACATGTCGATGTTACATGGTGATTATGAATGATCATGTTTCATGATGATGTTACATGATGATGTTGTAGATGATGTTACATGCTGATGTTTCATGTTGATGATACATAGTGATGTTACATGTTGATGTTACATGGTGATGTTGAATGATCATGTTTCATGATGATGTTACATGATAATGTTTCATGATAATGTTACATGATGATGTTACATGATTATGTTTCATGATGTTGTTACATGATGATGTTTCATGTTTACGTTACATGGTGATGTTGCATGATGATATTTCATGTTGATGTTACATATTGATGTTGCATGCTGTTGTTACATCATGATGTTACATGTTGATGTTACTAATTGATGTAACATGATAATGTTACATTATGATTATTCAGAATGATGTTGCAAGATGATGTTGAGTCATGATATTACATGATTATGTTACATTTTGCTCTTACATTGTGATGTTGCATGTTGATGTTTCATGTTGATGTTTCACGTTGATGTTTAATATTGTTGATGGATGTTGTTGTTACATGGCGATGTTACAGGTTGATGTGGCGTGATCTTGTTTCATGATGATGTTACATGATTATGATACATGATGATGTTACATGGTGATATCGCATGATGATGTTTCAAGATTATTTTACTTGTTGATGTTACATAGTGATATTGCATGATGATTTTGCAAAATGATGTTACATAAAGATGTTACATGATGATGTTGCATGATGCTGTTACATGATGATGGTAAATGTTGATGTTGCATGTTGATGTTGGATGATGTTGTTAATTGATGATGGTACATGGTGATGTTGCATGATCATGTTTGATGATGATGGTAATTCATGATTGTGCATGATGTTGTTTCATGACGATTTAACGTGATGATGTTATATGTTGATGGTACATGGTGTTGATAAATGATGAGGTTGCATGATGCTGTTACATGATGATGGTAAATGATGATGTTACATGGATTTGTTGGATGAGGATTATGCATGATGATGTTACATGATGATGTTGCATGATGTTGCATGATGATGTTGCATCAGGATGTTACATGTTGATCTTTCCTGATGATTAAATATGTTGATGTTACATGGTGATTATGAATGATCATGTTTCATGATGATGGTACATGATGATGTTGTAGATGATGTTACATGCTGATGTTTCATGATGATGTTAATTGGTGTCGTTCCATGATGTTCATTCATGTCGATGTTACATGATGATGTTGAATGATGATGTTACAGGATGATCTTTCACGTTGATGTTACATGTTGATGTTACATAGTGATGTTGCATGATGATGTTTCATGATGAATAGAAATGATGTTGCATGATGATGTTAGAAGATAGTATTTCATGTTGATATTTTATGGTGATGTTGCATCATGATTTTGCAGGATGATATATGTTGATGTTTCAGGATGAAATTTCATGCTTATGTTGTAGAATGATGTTGCATGATGCTGTTGCAGGATGATGTTGCCTGTTGATGTTTCATGTTGATGTTACATAGTGATGTTGGATGATGATGTTACTTGGTGTTGTTCCATGATGTTCATTCACGTTGATGTAACATGTTGATGTTACATGGTGATGTTGCATGATGATATTTCGTGATGATGTTATATGATGACGATGCATGATGATGTTACGTGCTGATGTCACATGTTTATGTTACATGATTATGTTGCACGACGACGATACATGATGATGTTGCATGAGGTTGTTTCATGAAGATTTTACATGATATGATACATGATGATAATACATGGTGATGTTTCATTATCATGATTATTGATGATGTTACATGTTGATGTTACATGATGATGATGCATGGTGATGTTTTATGATGCTGTTGCAAGATGCTGTTACATGATGATGGTAAATGTTGATGTTGCATGATTTTGTTGGATGGTGATGATACGTCGCGATGTTACATGATGAATTTGCATGATCATTATTCAGAATGATGTTGCAAGATGATGTTGAGTCATGATGTTACATGATTATGTTACATTTTGCTCTTACATTGTGATGTTGCATGTTGATGTTTCATGTTGATGTTTCACGTTGATGTTTAATATTGTTGATGGATGTTGTTGTTACATGGCGATGTTACAGGTTGATGTGGCGTGATCATGCTTCATGATCATGTTATATGATGATGTTGCAGGATCTTGTTTCATGATGATGTTACATGATTATGATACATGATGATGTTACATGGTGATATTACATGATGATGTTTCAAGATTATTTTACTTGTTGATGTTACATAGTGATATTGCATGATGATTTTGCAAAATGATGTTACATAAAGATGTTACATGATGATGTTGCATGATGCTGTTACATGATGATGGTAAATGTTGATGTTGCATGTTGATGTTGGATGATGTTGTTAATTGATGATGGTACATGGTGATGTTGCATGATGCTGTTACATGATGATGGTAATTCATGATTGTGCATGATGTTGTTTCATGACGATTTAACGTGATGATGTTATATGTTGATGGTACATGGTGTTGATAAATGATGAGGTTGCATGATGCTGTTACATGATGATGGTAAATGATGATGTTACATGGATTTGTTGGATGAGGATTATGCATGATGATGTTACATGATGATGTTGCATGATGTTGCATGATGATGTTGCATCAGGATGTTACATGTTGATCTTTCCTGATGATGTTGCATGTTGATGTTACATGGTGATTATGAATGATCATGTTTCATGATGATGTTACATGATGATGTTGTAGATGATGTTACATGCTGATGTTTTATGTTGATGATGCATAGTGATGTTAAATGTTGATGTTACATGTTGATGTTGCATGCTGTTGTTAGATGATGATGTTACATGTTGATGTTACTAATTGATGTAACATTATAATGTTACATTATGATTTTGCATGATGATTTTGCATTATGTTGTTACATGATTATGATTAATGTTGTTTATTCATGTTGTTGTTAAATGAAGATGTTACATGGTGATATTACATGATGATGTTTCAAGATTATTTTACTTGTTGATGTTACATAGTGATATTGCATGATGATTTTGCAAAATGATGTTACATAAAGATGTTACATGATGATGTTGCATGATGCTGTTACATGATGATGGTAAATGATGATGTTACATGATGTTGCATGATGATGTTGCATCAGGATGTTACATGTTGATCTTTCCTGATGATGAAACATGTTGATGTTACATGGTGATTATGAATGATCATGTTTCATGATGATGTTTCATGATAATGTTTCATGATAATATTACATGATTATGTTACATGATTATGTTTCATGATGTTGTTACATGATTATGTTTCATGTTGATTTTCCATGTTGATGTTGAATATTGTTGATGGATGTTGTTGTTACATGGCGATGTTACAGGTTGATGTGGCGTGATCATGCTTCATGATCATGTTATATGATGATGTTGCAGGATCTTGTTTCATGATGATGTTACATGATTATGATACATGATGATGTTACATGGTGATATTACATGATGATGTTTCAAGATTATTTTACTTGTTGATGTTACATAGTGATATTGCATGATGATTTTGCAAAATGATGTTACATAAAGATGTTACATGATGATGTTGCATGATGCTGTTACATGATGATGGTAAATGTTGATGTTGCATGTTGATGATGGATGATGTTGTTAATTGATGATGGTACATGGTGATGTTGCATAATCATGTTTGATGATGATGGTAATTCATGATTGTGCATGATGTTGTTTCATGACGATTTAACGTGATGATGTTATATGTTGATGGTACATGGTGTTGATAAATGATGAGGTTGCATGATGCTGTTACATGATGATGGTAAATGATGATGTTACATGGATTTTTTGGATGAGGATTATGCATGATGATGTTACATGATGATGTTGCATGATGTTGCATGATGATGTTGCATCAGGATGTTACATGTTGATCTTTCCTGATGATGAAACATGTTGATGTTACATGGTGATTATGAATGATCATGTTTCATGATGATGTTACATGATGATGTTGTAGATGATGTTACATGCTGATGTTTTATGTTGATGATGCATAGTGATGTTAAATGTTGATGTTACATGTTGATGTTGCATGCTGTTGTTAGATGATGATGTTACATGTTGATGTTACTAATTGATGTAACATTATAATGTTACATTATGGTTTTGCATGATGATTTTGCATTATGTTGTTACATGATTATGATTAATGTTGTTTATTCATGTTGTTGTTAAATGAAGATGTTACATGATGATGTCTCATGTTGATGTTACATGTTGATGTTACATGGTGATGTTGCAAGATCATGTTTCATGATGAATAGAAATGATGTTGCATGATGATGTTAGAAGATTGTATTTCATGTTGAAATTTTATGGTGATGTTGCATCATGATTGTGCAGGATGATATATGTTGATGTTGCATGATGAAGTTTTATGCTTAGGTTGTAAAATGATGTTGCATAATGCTGTTGCAGGGTGATGTTGCATGTTGATGTTTCATGATGATGTTACATTGCGATGTTGGATGATGATGATTCATGATGATGTTACATGATAATGTTGTATGATAATGTTACATGAAGACGTGACATGTTGATGTTTCATGATGATTATGCATGGTGATGATTTATGATGCTGTTGCTGATGATGGTAAATGATGATGTTGCATGATTTTGTTGGATGGTGATGATACGTCGCGATGTTACATGATGAATTTGCATGATCATTATTCAGAATGATGTTGCAAGATGATGTTGAGTCATGATGTTACATGATTATGTTACATTTTGCTCTTACATTGTGATGTTGCATGTTGATGTTTCATGTTGATGTTGAATATTGTTGATGGATGTTGTTGTTACATGGCGAAGTTACAGGTTGATATGGCGTGATCATGCTTCATGATCATGTTATATGATGATGTTGCAGGATCTTGTTTCATGATGATGTTACATGATTATGATACATGATGATGTTACATGGTGATATTACATGATGATGTTTCAAGATTATTTTACTTGTTGATGTTACATAGTGATATTGCATGATGATTTTGCAAAATGATGTTACATAAAGATGTTACATGATGATGTTGCATGATGCTGTTACATGATGATGGTAAATGATGATGTTACATGATGTTGCATGATGATGTTGCATCAGGATGTTACATGTTGATCTTTCCTGATGATGAAACATGTTGATGTTACATGGTGATTATGAATGATCATGTTTCATGATGATGTTTCATGATAATGTTTCATGATAATATTACATGATTATGTTACATGATTATGTTTCATGATGTTGTTACATGATTATGTTTCATGTTGATTTTCCATGTTGATGTTGAATATTGTTGATGGATGTTGTTGTTACATGGCGATGTTACAGGTTGATGTGGCGTGATCATGCTTCATGATCATGTTATATGATGATGTTGCAGGATCTTGTTTCATGATGATGTTACATGATTATGATACATGATGATGTTACATGGTGATATTACATGATGATGTTTCAAGATTATTTTACTTGTTGATGTTACATAGTGATATTGCATGATGATTTTGCAAAATGATGTTACATATAGATGTTACATGATGATGTTGCATGATGCTGTTACATGATGATGGTAAATGTTGATGTTGCATGTTGATGATGGATGATGTTGTTAATTGATGATGGTACATGGTGATGTTGCATGATCATATTTGATGATGATGGTAATTCATGTTTGTGCATGATGTTGTTTCATGACGATTTAACGTGATGATGTTATATGTTGATGGTACATGGTGTTGATAAATGATGAGGTTGCATGATGCTGTTACATGATGATGGTAAATGATGATGTTACATGGATTTGTTAAATGAGGATTATGCATGATGATGTTACATGATGATGTTGCATGATGATGTTTGACGTCGATGATTCAGGGTGATGTTGCATGGTGATTTTGTATGATGATGTTACATGTTGATGATGGAGGATGATGTTGCATGATGATGTTACATGATGAAGGTAAATGTTGATGTTGCATGTTGATGATGGATGATGATGTTAATTAATGATGGTACGTGGTGATGTTGCATAATCATGTTTGATGATGATGATAATTCATGATTATGCATGATGATATTTCATGATGATTTTACGTGATGATCTAATATGTTGATGTTACATGCTGATGTTACATTTTGATGATGCATGATCATGTTTCTTGATGATGATAGATGTTGATGTTATATGGTGATATTGCAATATCATTTTTTCTGATGATGTTACATGATGGTGTTGCATGATTTTGTTTGATGAGGATGTTTCAAGCTGATGTTACATGGTTATGCTACATTATAACGTGAAATCATTATGTTACATTTTGCTGTTACCTGGTGATGTTGCATGATGAGAATTTATGATGAAGTAACATGTTGATGTTGCATGATTACGTTTCTTGTTTTTGTTACATGAGGATGTTAAATGATTTTGTTAAATGATGATGTTGCATGATCATGAATCCTAATGATGTTACAAGATGTTGCTGCATGATTATATTACATGACGGTGTTGCATGATGATATAGCATGATGATGTTGCATGATTAAGTGACATGATGATGTTAGAAGTTGATGTTACATGGTTATGTTGGATGAGGCTTTTGCATGATGACGTTACATGTTGATGTTGCATGTTGATGTTTCATGATGATGTTACATGATGATAGATGTTGACGTTACATTGTGATGTTGCTTGATGATTTTGAATGATGTTGTTAGATGATGATGTTGCATGACGCTGTTACATGATGATGTTTCATGAAGATGTTACATGTTGATTTTGCAGGTTGATGTTTCATGATGATGTTACATCATGATAGATGTTGTCGTTATATTGTGATGTTGCTTGATGATTTTGAATGATGTTGTTAGATGATGATGTTGCATGATGTTGTTACATGATGATAGTAAGTGTTGATGTTATATGATGATGTTGCATGATGCTGTTACATGATGATGGCAAATGTTGTTGTTGCATGTTGATGTTGGATGATGTTGTTATTTGATGATGGTACATGGTGATGTTACATGATCATGTGTGATGATGTTGTTAAATTATGATTGTGCATGATGTTATTTCATGTTGATTTTACGTGATGATCTAATATGTTGATGTTACATGATGATGTTACATGTTGATGATGCATGATCATGTTTCGTGATGATGATAGATGTTGATGTGAGATGGTGATGTTGCAATATCATTTTTCCTGCTGATGTTACATGATGATGTTGCATGATGATGTAGCATGATGATTTTGCATGATTATGTGACATGATGATGTTAAAAGTTGATGTTACATGGTTATGTTGGATGAGGCTTTTGCATGATGATGTTACATGTTGATGTTGCATGTTGATGTTTCATGATGATGTTAGGTGATGATTTGGCATGATGTTGATTCACGATGATGCTGCATGATGATGTTACATGATGATGTTACATGTGGATGTTACATGATGATGTTGCATGATGCTGTTACATGATGATGGTAAATGTTGATGTTGCATGTTGATGTTGGATGATGTTGTTAATTGATGAT